TGATTCTTGGCTGACTTCCTTGAATAAGACGCCCTTCAGTTTTTAGGGTAAGGATTTTAGAAAAAAGTATCGTCTTACAGTCAGAAAAATACGGTAATTAAATTCAAGCCACCATTGGTCTCGGCAGACCAGATTGATTTAGCCTGGACTTAGAAGCTAAGCAGGAGTCAATCTGGTTAGTACTTGGATGGGAGACCAACAAAGAATACAAGACTATACTGAGAAATCTAAAAAATAATCCCTGAAGAAATTACTTTGGTATTACTCTCAAGAAAACTAAACAGAGGTAGTTATACAGATCAGTTGAGCTTAACTTGGAGGATTTAGTCATTTTAGTCCTATGATAAAACTGGTTGTGGAAATGTATCCATGCATGTATCTTGTTTCTATCCAAGATATTTAACTACATCCTAAATTAGGTGAGTTCCTACAAGGCATCTGAAAGAACATGTAAAGAATGAAATGGCTGGCTCTAAGATTGGTTCTATGACCAAATGATTGGTGAAATGAGAAAGCTAGAGCTACATGCGTCAGGCTGCTTTTCCTCAGAGTAAACCATCTAACTATAATAGGAATACTTTAAGGTGGTAGAAGACATGTGGTATAATTGTATGAGTAGCTGCGTTTGTAGTGAAGCCAAATCTCACTATTTCCTAGCACTGTACAGTGAGCAAAGAACAAAGGAATAAACCAGAGCTTAAATTCTGCTCACATTTTATAGAAAGTAATGCTTTTCAGAGCTGCCTGTCTCAAAAGTTAAAGGAACATTATGGCTTAGAATCTTTTATAAATTAAATATCACCTAATCTCCAAGATGAATACCTATGCAACACTTTTACATCAGACCTCAATAAAAATGTGTTTTAATAATCAATCACTATCACAGAGATTAAAGATGGAAAAGATACATTAGGAGGACATCCAGTCTACCCCTTGCTGAGGTTAAATTGCTCTCTGGAGTATATTCAGTATATCTTAAAACTAAGTTTAATGGAAGGTTAAGTATATTAGGAACAGCTACAGCTTTCCTAGAATATGAAATATCTCTTCCACAACTGGTTTCCTCACAGACACTGAGCCATGTCCCGGGCTTCTGGAGGAAGCAATGGCGAACTTAAGATGGCTCCACTAAAAGTGGAGCTGACGACCGTGGCAGAATGAAGAGCCAGCAAGTAGAAGAGCTCTTTATAATTCCTCTCTGGAAAAGAAGAGGACTTGAGATCACCCACAAGTGCTCCATACAGTTACTCCTTGCCAAGAGACCACCAAACAGTGGTCACCAGTGGGTTTAGAGCTAGGGAAAAACCATCTTTCAAAGGTTGGTGCCTTTGAAAGAACACTGGGTTTGCATACTTCCTTTTCTAATCACTTTTGGAAATTGTTTGTTAACTGCTTTTCAGCTATTAGGAACCTTTGGATTGACAAGTTTTATAAGCACTGGGTGAGTTTCCTTCAATCCTTAGTGAAAGAAGTTTTAAATACAAGTTTAAGGATTTAAAAAAAATTGGGGGGATAAACAGCAAATTGTGATCAAAACTTTGATTTTAGAAAGTTACAAATGGACTAAGGATCCAGATAAAATTGAAATAAGATTTGGAAATTAATTATAAGAATCCTTCTTGTGGGAAAATGCTTTTGTTTTGAATTCTTCTAAAAAATAATAATAAGATAAGACTTTAAAAATTGGACACTAGAGGGAACTAGAAGGAACTAAAGATTATAATTAAAGGAGAGGAACATTTAACATTGAGTTACAATTACAGAATGAACCAAAATATTCTAACATTGGACATACTGAAAGATATTTGTGAAAAATGGACTCAGAAATTAATTTTAATAGCGTCAACAGAGGCATCTGCCTCTATGGAGAGACTGTGTCTAAAAGATATTATGGAAGAGGAACAAGTTCTACCTGAGAAGATCGAGAATGAGTTGAAAATGGATTTACAAATGACAGGCTACAAGAATGACATGGAAAAAGATATTATACTGGACATACAAAAGAAACCAGCTGATGG